TTATTTAAGGTAGCTCTGTAATCTCACTGCTCCACAGGCAAGGCAGAGAAAGGGCGCGCGTTTCCGGGACACACTGTGAGCAGGTCTCTCTTCCCTTCCTACAGCACAACACCACTGTTCTGCATGCTCCCAGGAAGATATTGTCATCGAGGGGGGGGGTCTCATCCCATAGTCTCTGTGGTCATACAGCTGACAAGCCCAAGCACCAGAGCTGCACCACGGCCACATATGGCCAAGGAATTTGTATCCTGCTCAGTGACAACTGAAGCAAATACTGCAACTCAAAGTCAAGCATGAGGGGAAGAAGTCAGGGTGTGCTGTTGGTGCTCCTTTCTAATAACTAATTTGGGCAAACTAACTGGATCACAAAGTCAAAAAACTTAGAATGTAAGGGTACAGATGAGTTTAACAGAATGGCAACTGAGCTTTTTCACTATTCAAGTGTAGGTTCAAACCCAGCCATGCCCTACTGAAAGCAAACAAGTGAAAGCATATGTTCATGATCAAGTTTCTCAGGCCAGTTCAAATTCAGTGTTTAAATTGCACCACCTTACTGACACATTTTGTGTTAATTATCCCCTTCCCTGATGCTCTGCAAAGAGATGTAAAAGATCAATGACTCATGGACTCTGCCCCATGCCTGGGTCCCCAGAGCTAAGTGCATTAGCAGGGTTGGACAGAGCAAAGCATACTTCTGCCCTGTAGATAAACAGGGAACTAAGGATACCCTCAGCCACTGGGATGGCATGTTTCTTTTGGTCTGTCGTGACAAACCAATGCACCAAGCCTATGGGCTGGGATGGCACAGCACATCTCTGCACAGCAGGGTGGGAAACAGAAGCCATAAATGGAAACTGGTAGGATTTTGAGACAGCCCCAAAAGTCTTCCCCACACCTCGCTAGCTTGGCAAGTGCATACACCACTTCCACCTAACCATAGTCTGGTGAGCTGAAAGCTAACACAGGGAGTATACTTCAGCTAACCTAACTGAAAAAAGTCCACAATAGCTGGAAGAGGGAGGTTAATAAAAATCCGGTAGCAACCACATGTGACCTGATCCCTTTATGCCAGCCAGGAACTTGGAAGCAAAGGCATGAAGGCTCAGATCTGGTTAGAAACTGGAGACTTTGAGGAAGTGAAGAATAAAGAACAAACTCTGGGCAGCAGCCACGGCTTTACAAAGGTCTGATAACACACATAGCTTATGTCATCATATGTGCCAACTGGATTGGCTGACAGGCAGCAACGCTAATTCAAAGGAAATATCAATGAGACCAAATGACTCAAACGACATTAAAAACCACAACCTGTTCCAAAGCTTCAATATGGCAGGGTTTATGAGTTTATCACGCTTCAGCTCTCTGTTTCTAAGCAAGCACCATAAAAAGCCTTCGACCGATGAATCAGCATACAGACAGGTAATTGGTTCAGGTGACCTGTGCCTGTACGCTGCATCATTTCACTATGCTTTTAAGGAATCTCTGCTAAAGTCCCTTGCCATTATTGCCAGGAAGGAGATGTATCACATTTTCCTGGCAAGGAGATGCAATGTATTTGCCCGCAAAGAGATGCACAGTGCCTGAGAAGTGTGCTGCAAAGCAGCCGGGAAGAGATTACAACCAGCTGGGGAAAAAGTGCTCCTTGTGGCTGTACCACACTTCATAGCAAACCCTGGGGATGTGCTCTGCTGCCTTTCTCTGCACACAAATACCTCACCGGCCCTACCTCGAGGAACCAGCCAACAGGAGCATTGCTTCAGAGCAGCCAAAGCAGAAACAGTCTCATTGGTGGGAACCTCATCCTGTCCCATGTCTCCATATGCTGTGGTAGTGGAGGAAAAAAAAAAAAAAAAAGAAGGGCACAGAAAAGGCTTTGATTCCCTGATGAGACACATCCAAGTCCATACTTATCCATGGAAAGTCACTGTGCTAACTGCCAAAGGCCTATTTTTCTAACGTGATGTTGCATGGTTTGATTTCCCAAGCTCTAAGAACTGACATGAAGCTTCCTTGTGAGTTCTTTATTTGCATAAACCAGAAACCAGATTTCTGCGGTTTCAGAGGAATAAGAGGTTTGTTTCACATTCTGTTTAAATTAGTGGTGCAGCTCTTCCTAAGGAAAAAAACCAACGAAATCACTCTAAAGGAAGAAAACATCATAAATCCATCTCCAGTTTCTCACTGCAATCTCACGATAGGAGGGAACGTGTATTTAATGTTAAAAATCCACAAGGAATGAGCAAGTCCAACCACTCTGGAAAGTGAAAACGAGAGTCACAGACCTGCGCAAGACAAACAGCTGCTCGAGGCTCAAAATTCTCAGAACAGTCATAGACTGATAGTCGTAGAATCACTAAGGTTGGAAAAGACTTACTAAGATATCTAGTCCAAACATTAACCCATCACCACCATGCCTACTTTGTTTAAGGAGACCAAAGGTCTCCGCTTGGTTCTCGACTTGCCCTGGTGTTCTCTGGAGTCGAAGTCTGCAGGCTATCGAGCACATGTTAAGGTCAGTTGAGGGCACTGTGTCACCATCCTTAAGGCTCTACAACTCTTCTAGCTTAGGGAGATCAACCCTGGGCTAATAGCAAAAGAGCACTGCTCCAGATTTGTGAAAGTTGTCAGTACAAGCACAGCAGTTTCAGGATCACTGCATTTCATAGCTCAGGGCAGCCTGACCCAGCAGCTCACTGGTTAGATAACACGTGTTAGCAAAAGGCATGCAGCACTCAGAATCACCTACAGCACAAAGGCAATTTATAATCTAGGTATTAGCTGCAGTTGTAAATTGTCTATAATCCAGTGTTCATTGCTGTTATAAAGCTCTGCACTGCTTTGCCATGGGAGGCAAGGTCTGCTCCTAACAGTCACACAGTCTTCACTTACTATCTCCAGAGCAAATCCCCTACCTGCCCCATGCCAGGTGCACCAAATCAGCTTCCATCCCTTACCTGAACATAATCCAACACCATGCCTGCCAGGACCATGCCAAGCCCAGCCAGGAGGTAAGGCAGCAGCACCTGCAGGCAGATTGCCCCGGCTGACTCTTCCTCTGATTTTGCCATGGACGCTTTCTCCTCAGCCAACAGCTTCTGCTGGGCAGGCAGAGAGACATCCTCTGCTTCCTGGCTGCCAAGCCGGCTCTCTCTGTGTTTACCCTTGCCCTTTGCTTTGTGCCTGGGGCGCTCTCCATTCCTGGTTCTGCCCTCTTTTTTCCTCTGTCGAGCTTCCTCACCTTTCATGATGCCTTTCTCGAATCAAGGAATTTTTCTGAAAAACAAAGTCAGAACCCATAAGATGATGAAAGAAGGAACAGGATGAATCAGACACTGGAAACCCCCAGTACTTTACCCAGTCCACTAGCTTCAAGGCAAATCAAACCTACTCCCAACACCCTAGATGCTGAACGACTCAGATGCTAGCACTTATTTTTACCTTCAAACCAAACCTAGAAAAGGACCTCAAAGACCATCTTGTTCCAATCCCCTGCCATGGATTGGTTCTCACGTGTGGGATTAGGCTACCCAGGGCCCCATCCAGCCTGGCTTTGAATACCTCCAGGGATGGCGCTTCCACAGCTTCTCTGGGCAACATCTTCCAGTACTTCACCATTCTCCGAGTGAAAAATTTTTCCCAACATCTAACCTAAACCATTTCCCCTTGTCACGTCACTATTTCATTCCTCTCCAATCTCTCCTTCTATAACCACATCTCTCTTCCCAGGCCTGTGCTCACACCAGAGAGCGCTGGGCATCCTGCCTCCCATGCTGGGAATACCCATAAGGCTGTGAAGGGTGCTGCGGGTACCCTATGTTCTGGGCCACCAGATCTCATGCTGGGGATGATGAGGACCAAGGGGCTCAACAGAACCCAAGTCTGATCTCTAGCAATGATGTTGGAGAACATCACATCCTGATCATCCCGCAGTACAGAAAATGGTATAATCCACACTTAGTGTAACACAGCTAGCTGCCAATCATTCCTCAATAATAGGTTAGAATTATGGAATTGTTTGAGTTGGAAGGGACCCATAAAAGCTAGTCCAGCTCCCCTGCAATGAACAGGGACACCCACAGCTCCATCAGGTGCTCAGAGCCCATCCAGCCTGACCTCGGCTGTCTGCAAGGATGGAGCACCACCACCTCTCTGGGCAGCCTGTGCCAGTGCCTCACTGCCAGTACTGCAAAAAACTTTCTCTCATACCCAATCTAAACCTTCCTCCTTTTAGTTTGAAACAAGTTTCCCTTGACCTATCAGGCTAATTCTTCTATCTTCTGTCCAATCTGAATACTTTTGTTCCTTCTTGCACCTTTTTTTTTTTTTTTTTTTTAAACATACATGCCCGTACTATAAGACTCACCTACCTACGCACAACCTGCCCAGACTCCACAGCATCGTCTAAGAAAATATAAACTTGCCAAATCATTTTCAGCCTCCCTTTTTCTGCCCTTATATCTCATTTCTTGCTATAACTCAGCTACCCTTGCCTGCCCCACATCTTTCCCCATCACTTCTCCCATCAACCGCCCAGGCTAAGGGCTGCCTGCTGCTCTCCGCTGCTCCCATTCGCAGGACGCGCCCGATGCCCAACCTCAGCTCTTCCCCACTGCAATCCATCCCCTTCCTGCTCAACATCTGGGGAGGCCCCAGACACAGCTGGGCGGAGGAGAAGGAGGGGGTTGGGAGGGAGGAGGATAGACAACCTTAATCCCCATCTCCAGGACGGAATCCGCCCCGCGTCCTCTCCCTCAACCCTGCGGCGCTTACCGGCTCGGAGCCCTCCCCGGGCTCTGCCCGCGGGCGCAGAAGGACCGCCCGCCACAGCCGGGGCGCGGCTCGGAGCCCGCCCTGCGCGGCGGCCGCGGGTTCGAGCCCGGCCCCCGACGGCTCGGCGGCATGGGCGGTGCGGAGCGGTGAGTGGCAGCCGCCGGGCCGGCCCCAGAGCCGGGCACGCACCGGGGGCGCGGCGTGCGGGCGGGCAGCGGCTGCGAGCGCTCCGTCATCGGCATTGTCACGGCCCTTCCCGTTCCCGGCAGGCGCAGGGTTGGGACTGTATCTGAAGAGCTCCCAGACACGCTCGAGAAACGGGCCCTGCAGGGAAAAGCCCGGGGATCCAGGAAGGGTCCTGCTGCCCCCTGGCCCCGTGGCTGATGGCAGCAGGAAAAGTGAAACAGCAAGTTGAGAACAAACGGTATTTATTTTCCATCTTTTTTCCACCCTTGTTCTGGCATTTAAGGGTTCGTTTCAAGTTTCCTGTGCAAAAGCCTTCCTCCCGTACAATCAACAGCAAAACGCCCGCTGAATTGGTTTCACCCCCCTCCCATACCAAATCAACGTCAGCACTGTGATGGCAGCATCCATCACACTCAAGCACGTAAATCCCATTAAGCGCTGAAGGAACCGTACTCATGCACGTCTCCTGAATCACGCAGCTTGTATTTCCAGAACAATTGAGGATATTAAATCATACCTCAGTATCACAGCAACACTATACCCTGCTGAAGTCCATTGGATGCCAAACTGCACTAAAGAGCTCCGAATGACAAAGCAGTGCCCCGGGCCCGTGGCTCAATCAGGACACACCAATGGGGGCTGAATGCTTTTGTAAGTGACAGTAACGAAACCCCACAGCTGCTGGGTGCATCACAGGGCAAATGGCACTGCTGTAACCACGAGGCTTAAATTTCAGCTCACTTGGTATAATTTTATGTCTTCCTTTTGCAGCCTTGAGAGTGGTCAGAAGACAGCGTTTTCCAATGGGAAATAAGAGAGGAAGGGACACGGATATAAACCCCACAAGCTTGCCATGCCATTTTTAGAACTGTAAGATGTATTCTGCTATCACTTTACCACTGAGCTTCAAGAAAAATATCTACAGAGCAAGCAGGATGCCTCCTGGGAAGTGACAGACATGGGCATGCTGGTGATGGGATGCCATGAGGGATCTCCCACCTGAGTCCAACCACAGGAGCTCCCAACACGGTGTCAGCCCCTGTCTCAGGCACAAGAGGAGACACAACCACGTCCTGTCCCCAGTTCCCAGTGTACCACCTGGGTATATCTCTAAGAACATCACGCTTTCCCTGAAGCCCAGCAGCACTGTTTAGATATGTCCCCGCCTTTGACGCAAGGGAACGGCTGCTGGACCTTGATTGCAAACAGAGCCCCTGTGACCTGGGAGCCCCTGAGCTTCCAGATAGGACAGCTCAGCTGCTCACTGCTGTTTGGGAAATGCTCAGCAGCACAAAGCTGAGCAACTTCATGCTTAAATAATTTCCTTCCCCACTGACCTGTGTTTATGTGTGCTACTATGTTCTCCCATAAAAGTGCAGGAAGAAACAGCAATGCCAAAGCACGAGGGAATTCATTGCATTCGTTCCTGTAAGCATTGTGGAGAGAAACAAAGACCTTCCCTCTGTAAAGAAAAAAAAAAATAAAAAAAAAAATAAAGTTTTCCTTCCACTCTTCCATATCTCCTCGCTCCTGGACTTAATTTCTGACAGCAAATCCTTCAGCCAAGCAGAGGAGAATTCTACAGCTCTTTCTATTATTCTGTCCAGAGATTGCAGATAACCCCCAGTCACATACCTGGTAACTATGAGGCTGTACAAGTGCTCTTGCCACCACCGGGCTGCACAAAAGCTGCTGGTAGCTGCTCCACATCTCCCTGGGCTGCAGACCCATCATGACCATGCTCATGGACACCTTACAGCTGCAGTGCAAGGATGCAGGAAGAAATATTCAAAATCTAACTTTTCTCTTTTGTAAGACAGTGTGAGGTAGTAGGGCTTGAAGTATAATTTGGAAGTGTATGGGCAGAGCCCAACCCACCCCCACTGACCACATCCCTCAGTGCCACATATCCAGAGTTCTTGAACATCTCCAGGGACGGTGACTCCAGCACTCCCTGTGCAGCAGTGCCAGTGCATCACCACTCTTTCTGAGAAGAAATTGTTCCTAATATCCGATCTGAACCTCCCCTGTAGCAACTTGAGGCCATTGCCTCCCATCCTATCAACTGTTCCCCAGCAGCAGTCTGATCCCCACCTCACCACAGCCTCCTTTCAAGCAGTTACAGAGGGCAATAAGGTCTCCTCTGAGCCTCCTCTTCTCCAGACCACACTATTCCAGTTCTCTCAGCCCCATCCCATAAGACTTGTGTTCCAGATTCCTCACAGCTCTATTGCCCTTCTCTGGACAAGACATTCATATTGCACGAGGCCCTTTTACTCCCAATCTGCCATCAGATGGCAGCAACTGAACGTGGAATGAGAACTCACCGCTCTGCTGGCACGGAGATTTCACGCTTTTCACTTGTAGGTCAATGGCCCAGGTCAGAAAGGGCCAGAGACCTCCACAGTCCAACAGCTGCTCAGCCTCTCTGAGAGCAATTTGCAGGTTCCCACTTCCTACCTTATGGACGCATCTGGTCTCATCACTGGCACTGATTGGCACCTCCACCTGAAACACCGACAGAAAGGCAAAAGATGCTCCTAAAAGACTGAATTCCCCTACTTGTGCTTAAGGTGATACAACAAAGGGGAGTGTTTATCTCCATGCACAAGACTACTCTCCGCAACAGAGCCAGAACGCATTGGCTTCATTCCCTCTGCAAGCGAATAAATGCTGAAAATGATCTCATTCTGGACAGGAGGGTGACAGTTGGGGTTTTTCAGCAGATCAAATTAATTGCTTATTAATTGAGGATATGATATCCAGATAGACTAAGGATGGCGCAACCAAATCCTGTCAAACATGTTGTAACACACGTGTTATTTACAGCCTCTGTAACCGCAGGGACAAACTCTGTCCAGAGCTGCCTTACAAGGTGACCTAATTTGGGAAAGAAAACAGATAGAGAATTTTCTCACAGTAGAAGATACCTCTCTGTGACTCTTTCCCTTAAATTTTTAAGCCCTGTGAGGGACTGGAACAACTGATACTCTCCAGAGAAACACATGAGATAAGAAACGAGCCCAGCAAGCATGTGATTGTGATATAGTTCAAGCTTGCGTGTGTATCACTCAGCTCGTCTGTTAAGACTGGAGAAGCATGTCACTACGAAAATCCCTCTGGGCAGCTGGGCACCTCTCCAGTGCTCCGATTTCCCTTGCTGCTAATGAATCAGCCTCTTTTCAGCTAACTTACCTCCAAAGCCTGTTTTGTTGGAAACCGAGGGAGCCTAGGGAGCAGGGCTCTCTCCATGCATAACAATGACCTATTTTAGATACTTCTCCTCACACGGTCATGGAGAAGGAGCAGCAAGAGAGCGCTTCTATCCAAGAGGCATTTCCTGGAATATGTCCTAGACAATGTCGGCCCATTTCCATTTTGAGACCTGACATTTTGTGGTGCCAATGCCTGCACACAACAGAAGATGCCAGTGAGAGTCAGGGATGGGATCCTGCTGCCTCATTCCAAGGACATACACACAGGCTCTCTGCACGCGTTACTGTTCTCACAAACAGCCCTTACTGTGGAAGCTGATAACACTAAATGGGAACTCCTGCTACAGAATGGCAAAGGAGAGCAGGGGAATGTTTTCCACCTCTAGGCATGTTTACATTGCTTGGCTTTCTCAGCTGTCACGAGCAGTACAGCATGAGAACCAGAAACATGTATCACTGAATTCATTCTTTCCAAAGCCCTCTGTTGCCCAATGGTTTCCCCAGGCTGAATTAGCTGTGCAGCTCCGCATGACACTGCAGGAAAGATGCACCTCGTGCCCCAGAAGAAATGCTTGGAAAGAGGAAATAGATCACGTGTCATCTCATCTTTAAGAGGAGGGCAATTGCCTGAGCCAGAGAAGAAGCAAAACTTTTTTTTTCCCCCTCACAGATAGCATCCTGAGACAAAACCAAAAGAAAAATCAAACTACAATGCAGTCATTGCATACTATATTTTAACCCAAACATCACATGCAGCTCAGATCCCAGGCTAGAACCCAGTGCTTTCAGTTCATTTTTGGCTGATCCCTTGCAAGGCCAGAAGGGAACAACGTCCAGTGTGACTCAAAGGACACAGTGCACCTTTGGGTTGAACAGCAGCATTTTTGTTGCAAAAGCACTCACCCTACATTAAAACAGGCAGTAGTAGAAGAATCAGCCACTGTGCACTTCTTTATGAGGCTGAATTTGTCTGCCTTCAACTTCCAGCTCACTGATGTACTTATATCCTTATGACTACCCAAGCTCACTTTCAAACTAGCACTTCTCTTGCATCTCTCACTATTAGGCAGGCAGATAAGCTTCTGTTTACTCACGTGCCTCTCCTCAATCTCACCCCAATTAACTAACATCTTTCTAGTCTGCTACTGAGTGGAGCTCAATACTGGCCAGCAGCACTGAATCCAGACAAAACCAAACCTTTCTGTGACAGCAGAAGATTTTGTCCATCAATCCAGTGATCCAGACCTCTAGAGGCTGGCATATCATTCCATGAGGTTTCCTAACTAAAATGCTGTGTGGCATCTTTCATGAGTCTCCTGCATTATTCTGACCTACAATACTTAATCAGCTCTTAAATGCTGATGGATAAAACAACTTTCTTCCTGCTTCTTCTCCTCACACGGTCTTTACTGTTTACTGTTCTTCTCCTGCAGGATTTCTGACTTTCATTCTCACTCCGTTTCTCACTGCCACTGCCAGCTAAACAAGTAAGAGGGAGAAAAAAAAGAGAAGTTGGGGTGTTCCTAGCCACCAAAAGGTAGCTACTCAAATTTATTAATGGTGACAGCACATACGCCATGTTCAACTAACAATTTTAAGCATTAAATAGGAAGCATTCTTCCTGACCCTTGAAAACACATAGGATATTATGATGAATGATCACCATAGCATAATTGCACCTATGCCAGGAAACAAGACAGCTGTATTTGTGCTAAGCATACATCAGTTTCCTATAGTGTACACGAGAACACAAGGCAAAAGCTGGCAGTATTCAGTCTTGCTTGGTTCATAGTGACTACTTCAAGGCAACCTGCAGAGCCATTCAAGACCATGTAGAATGCAAAGTGACTTGATGCAAGACAGTCCTGTGACTGGTACATCTCATCTCTGATTTCTTGTGCCTTGTGTGCAAAGGAGATGGCAGTAGGAAATCTTCCTGCTAGGATGGAACAGCTCTACAAGTAGGTAATGGAAGCACTGTTTCTACCATTCAGTTCTGCCTGGGAACGATTTTTTAAAGTAAGACAGCAATCCTTTTACCAAATCTTTTTTATTTGTAGCTGTTACAATAAGCCATCCTTCAAAACACTCAGTCCCAAAGAACGTTGGGCACTGTTAAATACATCTAGAGACCTATCATTGCTCCCAAGAAAAAGGAACAAAGCTCACATCCCTTCCCTGCAGAAAAATGCCTCTTACTTAAGAGGAATTAAATCTAGATGGCTATTCCTTAGGGCACAGCTGTGCTGTAGAGATTTTGAGTGACTCACAAATGAACATGTTGAAATCTCTCTCTGGTTTGTTAGGATATTTCCTCAGGCAACCATTTCATTCTTGCTTTTTTCCAGTCTGTGTTCTGAACTGTTGCATTTGACTTCTTAGCCACGTGCTGCTGCAAATAGTAGCTAATATTCCCATCCTGGTTTCGGCTGGAATAGAGTTAATTTTCTTCCATAGTGGCTGGTTTGATGCTGTGTGGATATAGGAGAAGAACAATGTTGATTTACCTCCAAGCAGTATTGTTTGATAAAATGGAGTATGCGCACAAACCGATTTGGTGGGTCTGAATGGCAGAGGAAATTAGTCAAGGGATGAAGAAACTCTTTCACTCTGAGGTTACCAATTATAGTTGTATTCAGAGAAGCAATAGCTAGGAGTCATTAGAAGCTAAGGATTGCGTGGTGTCATCTGGAATGAGTTGCTGGGCTCAGTCCAGCCCCTGCCTGACAGGTGTTCCAGAGAGCACCATGAGAAATGGCCTCAGGCTTGGCCAAGTCAACAAGTCTTAGCAGAAAACAGGGGGCTTGAATGGGATTATGAGGATTAAGCAGAGTCATTTGCTACCAAGAAGCAGCATTTAAAAAGGACAGTTATAGCCACAGGCTTTCAAGGGCACCTTTTCAACATTGTTATCTAAGAAGGCAGGTATGGTTTTGTGTACCATGTCTCACCACATTCTAAACATGCATACAAACTGCACAATTATTATGCAAACGCATTTTAATCCTCAAACATCCCAGTGTAAAACTCCCATAAGGCAGTATTTGGGCCTTTAGAGGCACGAAACTCAACCCAGTTCCATGGATTTGGGGACAGACTTAATAGAAGAATCATAGAATGACTTTGGTTGGAAGGAACCCTAAAGATGATGTAGTGCTACTCCCCCTGCTGTGAGCTGGTTGTCAACCACCAGGTTAGGCTGCTCAGGGCCCCATCCAACCTGGCCTTCAAAATCTCCAGAGATGGAGCATCCACAGCCTCTCTGGCAACATGGCAGCACCTCACCTCCCCCTCAGTGAAAAACTTCCCCTTGATACCTAATCTAAATCTCTCCTCCATTAGTTAAAACCATTTCCTCTTGTCTGATCATTTTGTACTTCTCCAGGCAGGGATGGTCACCCTGAAAGCACCCTCAAATACAGCAGTTTTTGCTCAGCCAGCCCTTGGTCACCCAGAGAGCAACACATTACCATTGCTGTATTGTTATGGATTACTGCTTAAGAGCAGAATCTGTGAGTTGGGTAATAAGGAAGGCATATTAGTAGTGTATGAATAATAGAACAATACTGTGATGCCTTCCATCTAATTTACAGGCTTCCTCAAATAGATTATTTGTTAAGTAGTGCTTTGAAACTTAAAAAAAAAAAAAGTGTTATGTCAACATCCTGCTCCTGCTGTCATTAGGCACACAAAAAAGCAGCTTTTGGATCCAGACCATCTCCATCAAACCACAGGATGCTTCAAATCCCAGGTTTTCACTTCTCCCCACCAATTACCATGTGCTCCTTTCCTCCCCTATGCAGCACAGGACAAACCTGCTGACCTGCAGACTCTTGCTTAGCACCATTCATTTGTGTGTGCCCAAATCTGACACTCTCCTCACTATGAAAACCTCCAGCAACAACTTTTTTTCCAGCACTTCCACTTCTATTTCAGTGGTGACTTCTTCTCCTACACATCACATACCAATATCCTTCTCTTTCCTTCCCCCATCAGTGCTAATTTCCTGCACGGAAGCAGTCCCTGCAGGCCCAGCACAGCTCAGCAGCCCTGCTTGCAGCTTGGCACATCACTTGCAGGAAGATAGGAGTGAGGGGAAAGCTCACATCCCTGCTTTGAGCTGCAGTGTTCTTGCAACATGGGAAACAGGCTTACAGTTGCCTGCCACAGCTCTGCACCAGAGACCGATCAGGTTCATTTGGGGCCATGCCAGGTTCTCCTAAAAAAAGGAGTATTTATTTATAACAGACCGGTGAGATGGAAAACTGACTTCTATATTTAATAGAAAGTGCT